ATCCTAAATTGTGACAATTTAAGTATGTATCCTCTACTAATTTTTCCAGAGCCAACATAGAGTAAAGATATCATCACTATCTAGTATTTCACCAATGGATAAAGGAAAGGACTGGAGGCCACCTTTGATCATTTTCAATTCTCGGGTGACCCTATTATTTCTTAAAATCCGCTAGTTAGCCCGATTAAGCCAATGCATAAATACCTTTTCCTTTGTGAACTTTTTAAATTCTCGGTGTACCTTTTGTCGGACCAAAAAAAAGAAAAAAAGTGGAAAAGTGAAAAAAAAAAGAGAAAATAAGAAAGATAAATGAACAATGAAGAGGAATCTGGGGCAACTTAGAGTGGAGGAATAGTCTAGGAAGTTTGAAAAATTGGAAAACTCAGAAAAAATGGAAGTCAAAGAAAATCAAAATAGGAAATCTAGGGCAAATGAAAAATGAAAGGGATTGATAAAGAAATATTTGCAACAGGTTAAAAAAACTGGGGCAAATATATGTTTCAATCATTTTAGAATCAGTTGGCTCGAGTATTTGTTTATCAATTCTCTAGCATGTGAAGTCCTCCATTTTTTATGCACATACCTTTTAACCAAGAACTAGGGTAGTTTCCCATAAAACTCGGGTGTTTCCCAAAGCGAATATATGATTGTCTCATTCGCATTTTTGATGCACATACCTTTATAATTGTTAAGGTTTCGATCAACTCTTTGGAAAAGGGGCAAAATACTTTTATCTCCTACTAAAGCGTGACATAGGTCCCTTTAGACATAGTTGTTCCGTCATCTCCTATTTCGGTCTCATAGGTTCCTAAAAAAATATGAACAATAAAAAGAAGATAAAAATTGCATCATCCTTTATGTATGAGTTGCATTATCTTTCTACCTTGAAAGTTACAAAGAACGAGTAAAAAAAAGGAAGAAAAAGAAAAGAAGAGAGATAAAATGAGGGCAACCTATGGCTTTTGACACCCAAATCGAGCACAAATATGTCTCAATGAAGTTCAAACTGCACTACTGCAAAAGTCTTTTAAAAAGGAACTCAATTGTTCATTGTACACCAAAAAAAGCAAAAAAAATAATAACAAAATACAAGTAATAAAAAGAAAAATGCAAAGTGTGGTACAAATTTGAAGATAAATGATTCTCAACAAGAAAATTGATAAAGTGAGAAATGACAATTAAGTTTAATCGAATTTGTTGAGATAATACTTCTTGAATTCTTATCGCATTTTGCATCTAACATGTTATTGGCATTCTCAAATTTTTAGTCAGGTCATCATTTTCATCAATTTGCACAATAAATTTTTCGCTATTGCACAAAAATTTTCTACCTTTAACACAGAGTAAATCAATTATTTTTCCACCATTGCACATGAATCTTTCCGTTTTTTAGCACATGTTTCTCCACTTTATAACACAAGTTTTTTGCCATTGCACATGAAATTTTATGTTTTTTAGCACATGTTTTTTCCACTTTATACCACATGAGTTGTTCATTGCACAACACATGGATTTTCCGCCCTTCCGTACATCAAAAAACAAATTTTTCTACTTTTTAGCACATGTTTTTCCGCTCTATGGCACATGTTTTCCAACTTTGTAGCACATAAGTTTTTCCACTGCACATCACATGGATATTCCGCTCTTTGGCACATTAGAAATCTGAGTTTCCCACTACATAGCACAAGAGTATCCATCCCTCTCGCACATAATGACTTCCGCTGCATAGCATTCTTTGAATAGCACATGGTTTTCCCGTTAAATAGCACATGGAATTTTTGCCTTTTGGCACATTTCAAATCAAAATTATCTGCTTCATAACATATGTTTCTCTGCACTATGGCACATGCTTTTTTGTTGTATAGCACATGGACTTTTTTCGCTAAATAGCACATGGTTTTCCCACTAAATAGAACATGGGATTTTTGCCTTTTGACACATTTTAAATCTAAAATTTTCACTTCATAGCACATGTTTTTATGCACTGTGGCACAAGTTTTCCTGCTTTATATCACATGAGTTTTCCTACTAAATAACACATGGAATTTCTGCCTTTTAGCACATTTTAAATCAAAATTTTCCGCTACATAGCACATGCTTTTCTGCTTTACAACACATGAGAATTTCTATTGCATAGCACAAAAGTTTCTCGTCATCTGGCACGCCATGAATCAAAATTTTTGCCACTTTGGCACATCAGAAACCATTGATTTCCACTTTATAGCACATGAGATTTTTTGCCTCCAACACATCATGAATCATGGTTTTTTGCCACTTCGGTACATCATAAACCACTGATTTTCCGCTTTATAGCAAATAAACTTTTTTGCCTCCAACACATCATGAATCATGGTTTTCCGCCATTTTATCACATCATAAATTGAGTTTTCCGTTGCATAGCACATTGATCATCCGCCATCTAGCACATAATAATCACTGATTTTCTTGCTGCATAGCACATAGTTTTCTTTTCGTCACCTTAGCGCATCATAAACCACTGATTTCTTCGCTTTATAGCACTTTAGTATTTTCTGCTACAATAGCACATCACAATTTTAATTAAGGCTTTGTCGTTGTTTTCATTGCTACATGGCACATTATAGTTTTCAATCTTATGCTTTCTTATCTCACGGCAAATAGGTGACCCCACTCTACAAGATTATCTAATACTCGAAAAGTCAACTACTGCCAAAATTAAATAGATTCCATACATTGAGATGCTTTTGTCATTGTTTTTTACTTGTTTTTATTGTTTTTCTTTATGACAAATGTACCCTGATTTCGAAGGATCTTCATACTTAGGAAGGGTCACTTTGCCAAGAATAGAATGGCTTGAACATAATGAAATGATGCTACGCAGGAACTCTTTTCGTCTTACTCCTCCTTCATTGTCTTACCCCTCTTCCAATTTTGCCCTTCGCAAAAATCTTTGTGTACTTTTTGTGGTCTTTGTTGCTTCATAGTTTCCTACCTCACAACAAAAAGGGGAACCTGTCAGCACTCAATTTTTGTTCGGTTCGCCACTTAAACCTTCATACCTTAAACATCCGATCAGACCTTTCTGATCCTTCTGAAACACCCAAAAAACCAAAATTTCACCCCGAGAGCCTTTAAATATACCATTGAAACTGCCCGATAACTATCCGATGGTCCTGGTTGACCCCCACTTACACCTCAACCATTAGATCAGACATAACCATCAGACCCAGAACCTCCCAAGACACCTACCCATGAAATTTGAACTCAAAATTCCTCTGTTCACCCATCCATCAAGCAAAGATTCCATTTCGACCCCTTTTATTAGCCTAAACACTCAGAATCCAAACTCCCTTGATTTAGACACATTCGAACCGATCAAACCACATCATTAAACTCTAGACACATTAAAACACCTGTCCAAAAAGTTTTAGCCCTAGATTTCTTTGTTTACCCACCCATCAAATAAAAATTCTATTATAGCATCATGTTAACCCAAATTCCGATGATCTTGACCCTCCAAAGGAAGATCAAACCACATCATCAGATCCTGAACACCTCCAAATACCCACCTGTGAAATTTCAACTCAAACTACCTCTGTTTACCCTTCAATTGCACCAAGATTCCATTTCAAGGTCCCAGATTGACTGGATGACAAATCTGCCCGATTCAGGTCCATTTGGCTCAACCTAACCTTACCAATCACCTCAAACTACCCAAAAATCTTTCCCTGTGAAATTTCATCCAAAATAAACCTTGTTTGCCTCTTGATCACACAAATATTCTATTTCGAGCCTTCAAATTGATCAAATCGAACCCTGTCCAGATTTGACCAATTCGAACCCAATTGGGCCACTCTGACCTTGCCAATCAACTCAGAATGTCCAAAAACCTCACCATGTGAAATTTAAGCCAAGAATACCCTCATTAACCCTTAAATTTAAAAAAGATTTCATTTCAGCCATCTCACTGGCCCATACATACACAACCCCAGTCCGTGGTCAAACCCATCTCAACCCTCCATCGTTTGGCCCAAAAATCTCCATCATTGAACCAAAAGATCTGGTTTGACCCTCTTAGACCCGATTTGACTTATTTTCTCAATATTGTGCAAATACCCCCTGGAACCCCAAAATTACAAAATTGAGTACATTGTAAATGGACAAAGTCTAATATAATCCAATGAATATTTTGGACCATTATGGATAAACCCAATTCAATGTCTAGATTGTCTAATCTATTCAAATTCGTTTTGATTTAGATTGGTTTCAACCCAAGCCGGTCCATTAACACATATATTCTTATCTTATATCAATCGACCATATACTGGCTTAATCCAACCCAATCCAATATAAATTTTTTGGACCAGATTGGTCCAATCCAATACTCTTGTTAGTTCATCCAATCTGTCTAAATTAATTTTGAATTACATGGGATCCAATCCAAAACCGGTCCATTGACACCCTTATTAGAGGTGTAAATCGGGTTATACCACCCACGGCCCGGCACGACGGCACGTGGGATGCCAAGCCCGACATGATCGTGTAGCCCACGACATGATTGTGGGATATTCGATGAGTCTCATTTTCAAGGCTTGGCCCACGGGCCAGCCCGACCTACGACACAATACGGGCCCACATGGGCTTAGGTTGTGGGATGTTTTGAGCCGACCCCCAAGTTATTCCAGGGGAGGGTGACATGGCATAACCCACACTTTACATGGACGTGATACGACACGTTTACATGGTTGTGGGATGTTTTGATACGACACGTTTTACACCTCTAACCCTTATATTATTATTTTGATTAATAAAAAATGAATGAGAATAAAATTTGTAATCAAAGGAGTTACAAATTTTACTCTCATTCTCATTCTTGTCGTAAAAAAAATCATTTTTTGAAAAATAAGCATTTAGTTCGTAGCAATATTTTCTTATTCTTCCCATTTTTACTCATTTTTTTCATCTTAGAATTTCATTGAGAATTGAACCAAGTGGCATCATTGTTTTAATTCTTGCCGATTCTAAAAAAGAATGGGCAAGAATAAATGAGATGTAGGTGTTTCCGTGTTTGGATATTCATTTCTTGCCGCAGGACTCATTCTTCCCAGAATTTTTTTTTTTCGTTCGAGATCGAGTTCTCTCGACTTGAACTCACTGAACCCTCGTCCCTCTCTTTCTCTCTCTTAAACCCTGTCTGGCTATCTCTCTCTGTACAAGGTTAACCCTCGTCCCTCTCTCTCTCTCTGCTGAGGTATCTCGATCTGTTGAAGTCTCTACAAGGTAAAACTAATCGACTCTCTCTCTGTACAAGGTAACGGTGAGATCGATCTCGATCTGTTGAAGTCCTAAAGCTAAGATCGATCCAAAGAGATCAAACCAAGGTATACTCTCTCTCTCTCTCTCCTTATCTTCTTCTTCTTCTTCTTCTTCTTCTTCTCAAGTTGCGCACAGAAGATGGATTCATCCTCCTCCTCCTCTTCTTCTTCTTCTTCTTCTTCTTCTTACTCTGTTTTTTCCCCTTTTAGGTTGACCACCAATATCATCCCTGTAAGCATTAAAAGAAAGCAGCACCGATTAAGGTATTTGAACAATTTTTGTCCTTTCATTATTTTCCTTATTGGTATTTGTGTGTTCGAATTATTATGGAATTTATACATTTTTTTAAGTATAAATTGTTGCTGTTATTTTCCTTATTGCTTTGCTGTTATTTTTTTAAGTATAAACTTAAGTATAAATTATCGAATTATTTTCCTTATTGCTTTGTTGTTGTAATTATGCAAATAAGTTGTTGTATACAACTTGACTGTGAAAACCGGAGGCCTGAGAGGATATTCTATGCTGATCTTACCTGTCATGTAGAAGTTAAAGCCAATGGCCAAGTAGCAAAATCAACAAAAGAACGAGGAAAAAACAAAGTGAAAATTAGCTACCTTCGCTTCCAACTTCACATTTCGCTGACTCTTATCCATTTTTCTACT